AGTGAGTGAATGTATACTTTGTACATATATGGACTGGAGTGAGTGAATGTATACTTTGTACACATATGGACTGGAGTGAGTGAATGTATACTTTGTACAGATAGTTAGCATGAATGTAGACTGTGTACACATATGAACTAGCAAGTATGATTATATTGTGTGTACACATATGAACTGGAATCAATGAATCAATAAATTGTGTATGCACATGAATTGGCATGCATGAATGAATGTACATTTTTTACAAAAGCAGGACAGGGCAAAAAAAATGCAAGAAATAAACACCCACACGTATAGTAAAACTGATACAATTCAAGCATAGAAGTGGAAGCAACTCAAACCCCACCCACCCCCTCTCCTCCCCTCTCTTAAATGTTGCTCTCCCTCATTGGACCAAGTGACATAGTTGAGTTGTGACTGCTTACAGTACAGTACAGTGCAATGTCTGTGGCTTTCGGCTGACGCATCCAACTTGATCCAGCATTTCTTGTCTGGGTTGCCTTCCCAGTAAAATATGACTCTTATTTAAACAAAGCGTAACCATGTTACACTGTAGTGCACATATTTTTTTGTGCTCAGTCTGTGAGTAGAAAATAATAGATTTTAAAAATTTATTCTTCTTCTTCAAGTTCCCCGGCTGTTAACCCTGGTAGAAAGTCCTGGTTGCTCATCCACTTCTGGACTTTGGTCTTGTTCCAGGACTGAAGTGTTGCATGCACATCTGTTTTACAGATCTGGCTTATTTATGTGCAAACTGTTAGTTCCTTGCCTCTCAGGCAGATGCAATGAGTTCAAAGAAAACATGGATCCTATCTAAACTGACCAGCTCCCAAATGAGAATCAGTTGAATGGATGAGAATCTGTTGAATGGATGAGAATCTGTTGAATGGATGAGAATCTGTTGAATGGATGAGAATCTGTTGAATGGATGAGAATCTGTTGAATGGATGAGAATCTGTTGAATGGATGAGAATCTGTTGAATGGGTGAGAATCTGTTGAATGGATGAGAATCTGTTGAACGGATGAGAATCTGTTGAATGGATGAGAATCTGTTGAACGGATGAGAATCTGTTGAACGGATGAGAATCTGTTGAATGGATGAGAATCTGTTGAACGGATGAGAATCTGTTGAATGGATTTCAAGCCGTGGTCAAAAGAATTGAAGTCAGTAAGTACCCTCTACATGCTATTACAACCTCAAATTTACACTGCTAGACATGGGGGTGCAGCCTGGAGCTGCAAGAAATGAACATTTCACTAAGGGGACAAGACGTTTCATTAACCAACACAGAACAGACGCCATCAGTCGTTTTAGACTTGTGGAACTTTTGAGGAGGAGATCAGAGCACCTATGGATCTGTCCGGAATGCTGCGATGATAATCCTTTCTAATCACAAATCACTATATACACTGCTAGAGCCACACTTGGATACATTTTCGACACTCAATCAGCAAGGAACTAAACATCATGCTGGCCATCTTTATCCTGGTCCCCATTTGCAGCTGGGTTGACCTCGGAGCCAATATTAATACAACACCTAAACATACAACAAACACACACACAAAAACTAAATTATAGGCATGCTATAATATAAATAACAGGAACCCTAAATTCACTGCAAAGCAACACCAAACAAATGTTTATAGTACAAACACATGACAAACTAAATATCAAAAGTCTATGGACATGTTCTTCATCTTCATCTTCCTCTTATTTCTTTCTTTTTTCTTTATGTTATTCCATCAAGACTGATTACAAGACAGATGCAATATTTGTGCCTTTTGGCCGACACATTCGACTTCTGGAAATATTCTGACTGGGTCAGCAACCCAACACAGTTACAAAGTATATAAATACGCAGAAATTATGACAACAATTTTGGGAAGATGGTGGCATCCATGGCTTAGGCATTGCAAGTCTGAATCCCCAATGTACCACGATCAGAACCCACTGCTGGCTGCGGGGATTTTTATCATGGTATGGGATGTCGCAGGTCGACCCAGCCTAAGATGGATACCAGGATGGCTGTCCTGGGGAAGTAAAGACGACCGGTGTAATGCTGACCACATTACCCACCTAGTGCCGGTTAGTCTGTAAAAATATGGGTGCTCTTCCCATATGCCTGATGCGCTTAAAGGCCTGAAAAGGTATCTTTACTTTTTACTTTTATTTTCGGAAGATATTAATTCTAGGTGTAAAAACAAAACCAAATAAATGGTATGATACAAATAACGTGTCCCCCCAAAAAAGACACGCCCCAAAATAAGCCTTAGCACAATTTTTTTAGGATGCTTTACTACAAGCCCTACCCTAAAAATACACCCTAGCTCAGATTTTGAGAACCCAAGACCTGTATCACTGTGCAATGGAAGGAAACCACGTGGAGTTAATGAATAAATGTGAACCACAATCTTCATGCTAGGCATGAGAGAACTCACATGGAGATGGTGAACTGTCTGTTGATATTAGAGGCAGTTCACTCTAAGAAGTCAGAGGAGAAGTTGATCCACGATGTTGCAGAGGAAAGATGGACCGTTAAGAGCCCCTGAGAACTGTTGCTGTTAAGTGCACCACTATAGGGCGTTATCGGGAAGCTCTGTTGACATGTGTGAGTAGAGGTTCTAGTCTGGGTGCTGCCAGGCTAGACTTGTGCACCTGTGTGTCATGCTGGGTGACTGAATCGAGTGTTCATATTGCAGGAGTTGCCACAGTAACAAGGTTCCAGCGTGATGGTTTCTGTGATGTGAGGTATTAGTGATGCCTCGAGGTAACGTGACAGGTTGCAGACGGGAAGTCTGGATGGTTCTTCACAAGATATTGCGCATCAACCTGAATGTCCTCTAGAGACAGTATCTCCAAGATGTAGGAGTCATCTGAGAGAAAAATTGTTAGTCATTAAAAGTGGATTTGCGCGATCAGGTACTGATAGCCCATAGCAACCATGAAACACATTTGTGTGTTAGTGTCTGAATACAATGTACAGTCTCTGGCAGCAGACTGGTGTTCAGAGTCATCAGTTACTGTTGGGCAGGAGCTGTTACCTGTGAGTCCTGACATTCCTGAGTTAACCCTAGACCATTTGGCAAGTGTGCCTGACAGGCCCAGTAAAAGGTGTGCAGGGAGCCGAGACATCACACAAGTTAATTACCAATAACAAACCTTGAGAAAAAGACGAAGGGTCCCCAGAAACAGCAGAGTCTGGACTGGGGTCGTATGCTCTCTCTGATCGTAACTTGCAGAATAAGAAGAAGAAACACTGACAGAGGCAAATACATCATACAAAAACTATTTAACATAATATAAACATCACACTAATACTCTGTCCACCTTGTGACCGAACCAACAATGTTATTGCAAAATGCCCCGGACACCAGCTGTGTCTGATTGTGAAGTCTAGACTAATGCCCCAACCATGAAGAATTATCAGAGACCATGTCTAAACTAAAAACGCAAATAATAATAAAAAATCACAAGTCTGAACTATAAAGTCAAGATGAAAGTCTGAACCACAAAATCAAGATGAAAGTCTGAACCACAAAGTCAAGATGAAAGTCTGAACCACAAAGTCAAGATGAAAGTCTGAACCACAAAATCAAGATGAAAGTCAGAACCACAAAGTCAAGATGAAAGTCTGAACCACAAAATCCAGATGAAAATTTTGAACCACAAAGTCAAGATGAAAGTCAGAACCATAAAGTCGGAATCATAACAATGATATTAGGAGACTAAAATATAAAGCAAAGCCAAGCTAATAAATATGGAACCACGAAGTTAATCAAATTAAATTCTGAACTGCAAAAACAAAAAATTAAATCTAAACTAGGATTAAATTAGACTCAGAGAACTACGACCACAGTCTAGTCCAGGAAGTTGAGATTTGTGTCTCTGAATTAAGAAGTCCATTTCACTCCAACACAGGAACTCAAGATTAAAGTCTGATCTGAGACGTCAAGATCAGTCCAGCCCAGGAAGTCAAGATTAGTCTGATATTGGAAGACCAGATTAAAAATCTGACCATGAAAGTCAGAGACAAAAGCCTCAAACAGGAAGTCAAAATTAGCCTGGCCCCAGAAGTAAAAGATTAATCTGACTATAAAGGTCAAGACAAGTCTGATTCAGAAAGTCCAGAATTAAGTCTGTCCAAGACATTATTATTAAACTGTGACTATGTAAGTCAGAGGTTTAGGGAGTTTGCTGTGGTGTTGGCTGCTAGATGCCCGCCTGCGGATCGGAAGGTTGTGGATTCCAGTCCTGATGGAGTCTGGACTATTTTTAAAAATGACCTTGACTCCCAGGTTGACCCAGCCTTGAATGGGTACCAGGTGCAGTCCTGGAAAGTAAAGGCGGCCGGCATGATGCTGACCACATCATCCACCTAGTGTTGATTGGTCTATAAATTAAAGGTCTTGCCCTATATACCTAATATTCCAAAACGTGTGGGAGAGGGTCCTATTTTTAAGTCAGAAGTTTAAAAAAAAAAAGTCTGATCCAATAAGCTGAAATCAATGCCAATCAAACAGAATAAATTATCAAACTCAATCAATAAACAAATATAAATAGACTGCTAACAAAACCAATGTTTAAAATATAATCATAATCAATCGATTAATCAGTCATGTGCCACCTTCACAATGAAGGTTGGCTTCAATGGATGTCCCCTGTCTCTACATCCTTTCCAATGCTGAGAAAAAAAGTCTATCTGATAATCCGTCAGCTAAATTACTAACACAGTTTTTCACAGAACAACATGTAGCTTCCGAAGATAAAACCTTTAGCAATGATTACTTTTCCCAGAACATCTAGACTTTCAAAGATAGAACTTGCTGTATCAATTACAACTTCTTGTAGAACAACATGTAACTTCCGAAGATAGAACTTGCTGAAACAATTATAACTTCTCGTAGAACAACATGTAGCTTCCGAAGATAGAACTTGCTGCAATGATTACAACTTTTCTCGGAACATCTAGACTTCCAAAGATAGAGCTTGCTGAAACAATTATAACTTCTCGTAGAACAACATATAGGCTTCTGATGATAGAACTTGCTGTAACGAGACCCTCTGAACAGCTGAATCAGATGTTAGCCACCACTTGGCTCCCAGATCACCGCCACCTCGGACATCCCCACCAGCATGGACGCCTCGTCGGTAAGCCACAAAATGGCCCAGCTGAATATCACCCAGGTGACACACCACAGCAGCCAGACGGTAGGAGAACTCTCCTGTGCTGGATTTGATGACCTCTAGTGGGGCATTGTGGTTGACATCGCTGAGGTCGCTGGGGATCTGTGGCGCCCTCTGTGGGTGGAGGAACAAGCCTGTTTGTGTGAACTGCTGATCAAAGTTTAAGGTTCTTAAAAGATTGACGGCAGCTGATGTGGGTGCGCTGACTGCTCTGGAGGTTCGGCTAATGAAGAAAAAGAGGTCAAAATTAGTTTCAGGTTTGCAATGACCCTATGTCTAGTGTGTGTGTGTGTGTGTGTGTGTGTGAGACAGACAGGCAGAGAGGGCAGAGAGAGGAGGAGGAGGAGGAAGTAGATACATACAAATTAGTTAACTTCTAGCCTCTGAGCAGATATTGCCACAGGGATCTGAAAAGTCTTCAGACATTTACTATCATGAGGTATGTATTTGTATGTGTATGAGAGAGAGAGAGAGAGAGAGAGAGAGAGAGAGAGAGAGAGAGAGAGAGAGAGAGAGAGAGAGAGAGAGAGAGAGAGAGAGAGAGAGAGAGAGAGAGAGAGAGAGAGAGAGAGAGAGAGAGAGAGAAAGACAGAGAGACAGAGGGAGAGTGAGAGAGAGAGTGAGACAGAGAAAGAAAGAGAGATAGATTGAGAAAGAGAAAGAGAGAGAGAGAGAGATAGGAAAGAAAGCATGTACACAAAAGAGTGTTAACCAGCAGTCTCCTAGCAGATATTATTACCAACTGGGTGTGAAACTGTAAGCCTTCACACAATTCTGATCATCCTATAATTGTGCAAGGAGATATGAAGGTTCTCCTTCTTGCTCTTCTAGCCACGGCAACCACAGAAACATCATAGTGCTGTACAGTTTCTCTGATGTTATCTTCCCATCTTGTTCTTAGTCTACCTCTTGCTCTATGTCCCTTTTGGTATATGATGGTATAGCATTAGAAGTCATTCTCTCAAAATGGGCAAACCATCCGATTTGCTGTCTTTGTATGTAATTTAGAATTGATTCTTTGCCGACTTTATCTTGTATGACCTCACTGCTGATTTTCTCTCTTCTGGTCACTCCTACATTCTTTCTAAGACACCTCATTGCGATAGTTACTAATTTTTGTTTATGTTTTGTTGTGATTGATCATGTTTGACACTGATAGCATAGGATTTGAATGAATATGCTTTGTATGAGATGTTTCTTTGTGCTGATTGGGATTGCCTAATGCTGTAGGAGGGGGGCTAGCTGTCCCAATACTTAGCCAGCTTTACTGCATCGGATGTCAGTTTCTTCGTCCAGTTTGCCATCTTCAGTGAATGTTGTTCCAAGATATTTAAACTCAGATGCCTGTTTAACATATCTTTGCTCTAATGCTATGTTTAAATTCATTACTTCTGTCTTTTCGATTTGATTCTCATATTTTTTGATTTACATTCTTCATTAATGGATGTGAGATGTTGTTGTAATTCACTGCTGTATCTGCAATCAAGGCAAAGAGTAATTCGTTGATGTTACTATTATTTTCATTCCTGGACCTGGTGGCATCCTTGCTTATACAGTCAATGTAGGTGATAAACAGAAGTGGTGATAAGACACATCCCTGTCTTACTCCAGATGTTACTTTGAATAGTTTGGATATTCTTACTATGCTTCTACAATCTCCATATAAGCTTTTGCAAACTTCAACGAGGTGTTCACTTACTCCATATCGAGCCATTACTCTCAGGTACTTTTGTCCATCGACCCTGTCGAAAGCTTTCTCCTGGTCTACAAATAAGTTCTGATTATATTTAATGTTCTTTTCTATTAACCTTTTTCAGACATCTTATTTCTATGGTTTCTAATTATCTTTTCTGATTTGTTGTGAGTGACTGTAACAAGTGATTAGCGAGGACTTTCATCACAACACTCTGGACTGATCCATGCGTGCCCCAATCTCCTCAATAGCTCCAGAAGAGTCCCATGGCTGATCACAGCCATTCTGTGTTGACTGATCAGAAGTCTTGTGTCTTTGGTGAAATGTTCATGTCTAGCTACTCCAGGTTATGTCCACCAACCTGGACAAGGATTCGGAGTCCTCCTTGCTTGTTACTGTGATCTCCTTTGCAATATGCATTTCGCATGGCATTAATGACATCACTCCTGTCCATCGTCGGGTTGGCGTAGTAACTGCCTTGTCTGTTGCATGGCATTATTGACATTACTCCTGTCCATCGTCGGGCTGGCGTAGTAACTGCCTTGTCTGTTGCATGGCATTAATGACATCACTCCTGTCTATCGTCGGGCTGACGTAGTAACTGCCTTGTCTGTCGGGCTGGCGAAGTAACTGCCTTGTCTGTCGGGCGGGCGTAGTAACTGCCTTGTCTGTCGGGCTGGCGTAGTAACTGCCTTGTCTGTCGGGCTGGCGTAGTAAGTGCCTTGTCTGTAGGGCTGGCGTAGTAAGTGCCTTGTCTGTCGGGCTGGCGAAGTAACTGCCTTGTCTGTCAGGCTGGCGTAGTAACTGCCTTGTCTGTCGGGCTGGCGTAGTAACTGCCTTGTCTGTCAGAAAATCTCCACGCTCAGTCTTGAACATCTGCATGGTCCGGCACAAAGATAAAGGTCAGGCGAATTATTTGTGATGCATTTAACGAGAGAATCCATTCTTGTCTGATGAAGCATTTAAGTGACCATGCCTGGAACTGGTAGCAAAGTTAAAAAAACAATGTTAGTTGCGTATTCCTTAAAGAACCAACCGCAGCAATTTTTGGCTGTTGTGGTTTTTCTAGGCAAATTTACGTCCAGTAGTTTGCCATTGTTTTCTGGATGGTCGGCTTCTCAATACCACAGTCAAAACCAACGCAAGGCCCACAGCAGGCATCGAACCAGGCACCCCGGCATTACGAAGCGTGTTGGCAAAACCTAAGCCACAGACGCCGACTTGGTAGCAAAGAGTGAGAATAAATATGTTTTTGTACACGATATTTTTTTGTGATGATAGAGACTTTTGCTGGCGAGACTACACAGAGATATAAACAAAGTTATGAATATTGCTGTTTACAAAGACATGCTTTTACAAAAACACACTGTTTACAAAGACACCCTGTTTACAAAGACACCCTGTTTACAAAGACATGCTGTTTACAAAGTCATGCTGTTTACAAAGACATGATGTTTACAAGGTATGCTGTTTACAAAGACACGCTGTTTACAAAGTTATGCTGTATACAAAGACACCCTGTTTACAAAGACACGCTGTTTACAAATGTATGCTGTTTACAAAATTATGCTGTTTACAAAAACATGCTGTTTACAAAGATATGCTGTTTACAAAGATATGCTGTTTACAAAGACACGCTGTTTTCAAAGACATCTGTAAAAACCAAACCCACCTCAGCATGTGTAATGTGATGTCCATCCCTCCCTGAAGGCCTGCTGCATCTCCAGCACCTTTCCTCTGCCTACAGTACAAGAACTGATCCATGTGGAGTGTCTCTGGAAAACTGACATGGTCAAACCGCTTGACCGGTGCTCCGTTGTCTAGCCACTGTGTGCGAGGTAGGTGTATACACAGAACCTGGGGCAACTGAAACATTCCAGAAATTGGTCACCTGAAGCTCACAATGATGACAGAATACTGTAGTTTTACGTGTATAAAAATAAGGAGCATCCCACGCATGGAAAAATATGAGATATTACAAACATGGTATAAAAAGTAAAAGACCCTTTTCCACGCCGTCAGGTGTATCGGGCATATAGGGCTAGACCAATAAATTACAGATAATTGACACTTAGTTGTCGTATCATTCTATTTGAATTCCAGAGAAAAGAACGAAGCCTGTCCTAGGTATTAACAAACGGACATTCTCAAGATGGGCTAGAGAAGAGTCGGTTCTTTCAACATACACCACTGCTGAGCAAGGAAGGAAAATGGCAACTGAACTGATAGCTTTGACGAAGAAGTTATTTTAGGAGCTACACACTCAATGTTGGACAATAAATAATTATTGATCATCATCATCATTATCAAGTGCCTTGCCAGCTGGTGTAGGCATTTATGCGTTACCACGGATCTCGGTCTTTGGTGTTCTGGATCAAATCTACTGATGATATTCCTCCATGCTACTGTCTCAAGCCATCCACCATAGTTTCTCTCAGTCTGCCTCTGCCTCACCCACCAGCGATCTTTCCAGTCGTCAGGATATTTTCCAGTGCTCCTTTTTTCCATCACATGATCAAAGAACTTTGTTGTCTCCTTCTCATTAGTGATTAGAAAGGATTATCATCACAGCACTCCGGACAGACCCATATGTGCTCTGATCTCCTCCTCAAAAACTCCACAAGTGTAAAACGACTAATGAATGACGCCTGTTCTGTGTTGGTTAATGAAACGTCTTGTCCCCTTAGTGAAATGTTCATTTCTTGCAGCTCCAGGCCGCACCCCCGTGTCCATCCGTCTAGACAGGGATACGGAGTCATGTCCCTTGGCGTGCTCCTCGGTACGGTAAGTGCAGGGCATGGCATTGATAACATCACATCTGTCCAGTACTGGGCCAGCCCTAGCAACTGCAGTGCCAGCAAGATAGTCTGCACGCTCGTTCTCCTTCTCATTGTTGTATATAATGTTCTACTTTCATTAAACATTTCCAGGCATTCAATGTTGGTTATTCTGGCAGTCCAAGGTATTCTCAACATTCTCCTCAAGAACCCCATCTCCCTTGCCTCCAAACTCTTCTTAATTTGTTTGCTCACATTCCAAGATTCACTACCATACAACAAAACAGGCTCGATATAACATTTCAAAACTCATTTTCTTATGTTTAATGAGAATGATTTATGACATAAAATATTTTTTTTTTATCTTCTGAAAAGCCGCCTTTGCCTGGCCAATGCTGCTCTTAATTATAGATGCTGAAAAAAAAAATTAAACTTAAACTTTGACAGAACCATGGCACTGATATATCTGAAAGTACATTATGGAAAACTGTAAGAAGTGCAGGGACTTACACCTCCGTGATAAATAACTGCAGAAATGCTGTTAACTGTTATCACACTTCTGTACTTCGATTCACTTCCGTACTGTAAAGTTTGTTTTGTTACCTAACTAAACTTATACAAGTGATGAAAATAGCTCAATAGAACTTTGCAGAGTATAAATTAATGCCGAGAAGAAAACAGGAGCTCATGCAAAACAAAAAAATAAAATAATTAGGAAGAATTTATTGAAAATATTACGGCACAAATTAGAAAATGGACTATACCAACAGAGAGGTAAACATACAAACAGAGAGACAGGGAATTGCAGAGAGAATGAAAGAAAAAGATAAAAATGATAGGACAATGAAGATAGAGAAAAAGAAAAATGAGAGGGGAAAATAGAGCAAGACAGGTACTCAGAGAGAGGGAGGGTGTTTAGGGACAGGAAAAATAAAAATAGAGACACTCAGAGAGTTAAACCGAAAGACAGAGTCTAAACAAACCTTTCCAATGGAGACTTTCTTCCTAAAGTTTGACTTGACAGTCTCCGTCTTGGCAATCTTGGCACACTCCCCACACTCTACCATCTGCACCACCTCTGGTGAGATGAACTGACTCAAGAGGTTGTCCAGACTCAGCGAGCCCTGTTTATGAAACAATCAATTAAAATGCATTGAACCATGCTTAATTAATGACATATTTTCTCTTTTTTTTCTGAGTTTGCCCGTAACTTTTTAAGTCCCAAACAAAGCGTCATGTATGAACCGCCCTATCTGCTGAGCTCCCTAATCAGCTTAATGTGCTCCATTACATTTATATTTGGTCAGAACACACACAAGAAATCTGGCATATCTAACGGCCACTAGTTCTGTTAAATTACCACTTTCTGTTGAATCCCCTCCTCACTTCAATATGCTCTATTACTTGTGTATTTAGTCAGAAGACACTCAAGATAGTGGCTTGTCAATGGTCACCAGTATCACAATATTACCACTTTCTGTTGAATCCCCTTCTCACCTTAACATGCTTTATGAATTTTGTATTTCATTAGACCACACTCTAGAAATCTGGCTTGTCAAATAACTACATGTACCGTTTTATTATAACTTTCTGTTGAATCCCCTTCTCACCTTAACATGCTCTATAAATTTTGTATTTCATCAGACCACACTCTAGAAATCTGGCTTGTCCAATAACTACATGTACCGTTTTATTATAACTTTCTGTTGAATCCCCTTCTCATCTTAACATGCTCTGTAAATTTTGTATTTCATCATACCACACTCTAGAAATCTGGCTTGTCCAATAACTACATGCACCGTTTTATTATAACTTTCTGTTGAATCCTCTCCTAACCTTAACAGGCTTTATTACTTTTAAATTTGGTCAGAACACAGTCAAGAAAACTGGCTCGTCCAAAGGCCACTAGTATGATTCATAGTTAATACCAACACAAAGTAAAAATAAAACAAAATAAATACAGAAGTAACTCTTACCCAATAATTTCTAGGAAAACTAAGACTGAGGCTATCAAAGGCATCATATTTCACGGCACTTCGTGCTCCACAGGTGAGGCACTGCAACTGGCTGGCCAGGAGGCCACGGGTCGGTTGTTCTACTGACCTCACAGGCAGGACCGGAAGTAAACCCTGGCTCCGGGTCCTGGCATGTTTCTCCGACTGATACACGTTGGCTGGGCTCTTGTGTAGGACAGAATTGCAAATAATGTTAATATCATTTTTTTTTAATACAACTAACGAGCGGAAGATCATGACAAATGGAGATGAGATGTCTTAGGAGAGCTGCCGGTGTGACAAGAAAAGGTTAAATCAGGAATGAAGAAATTAGAAGAAGACCAGGACTGAAACCAGTCATATAATTCATTCTTCTTCTTCTCTTCTTCACTTCCTCTTTTACCGCTGTGGGTGTCGAGGGAGATATAAGGTTCTGTTTCTAGCTCTTCTGGCTGCCTCGACCATAGGTACATCGTGCTGTTGTAGAGTTTCTCTGATGTTATCCTTCCATCTTGTTCTTGGTCTACCCTGTGCTCTACGTCCTTCTTCTCTTTCCATGTATGCTTTGTATGGTATGTTGTCACAAGGCATTCTCTCTAAGTGGGCAAACCATTTCACTTGCTGTCTTTGTATGTAATCCAGAATTGGTTCTGTGCCGACTTGTTCTCTTATGATCTCATTTCTGATCTTATCTCTTATGGTCACTCCTACAGCCCTTCTCAGACATCTCATTTCCGTGGTTACTAATTTTCTTTTATGGTTTGTTGTGAGTGACCATGTCTGGCACTGGTAGCACAGAGTTGGAATAAATATGCTTTGAATAAGATGTCTCTTTGTGCTGACTGGGATTGTTTTATGCTGTAAGAGGGGGGCTAGCTGTCCCAATACTTGGTTTGCTTTACTGCATCTAATGTCAATTTCTTTATCCAATTTCCCATCTTCGGTAAATGTAGTTCCCAGGTATTTAAACTCAGATGCCTGTTTAATGCCTTTGTATTCTATTGTTATGTTTAGATCTGTCTTCTTTTTTCCTATTGACATTACTTCTGTCTTTTCAGTGTTGATTTTCATATTATTTGTTTTAAATTCTTCATTCATGGATGTTAGATGTTGTTGCAATTTCATGGCTGTATCTGCTATCAAGGCCTGGTCATCTGCAAAGAGTAATTCGTTGATCTTACTAAGATCTTCATTCATGGGCTTGGCATTCTTGCATATACTGTCGATGTAGGTGATAAACAGCAGTGGCGATAAGACACACCCCTGTCTTACTCCAGATATAATTCATTATATAATTCATTAAAGAACAATAAATGAGATGGTTTGGCCACATGACAAGAATGTCCTGGTACCAACTACCACAGAGAGCCACACTGAAGAAATATAATGAACACAGAGCAAGGGGAAGATCACACAAGAGATGGAGAGATACCATCAAGAGCAACCTAACAGAAATGAACACCAACTTGTACAATGCATTAGAAAAAAGGGCACAAACAATCCTTCATCTCCCTCCACCTCCCTGAGGTAAATGGTGGAAGAGAAGAAGAAGAAGAAGATATGAGATAGCAGATGATAAAATTCTGAAATAACATTATTATCAATATTCGATGGAAGTCATAAGAGACAGGACAGGGCATCTAATAATATAAAACACAAAATCTATATGTTTGTAGGAAAACGTGCAATCACACCGACCCCTCCCAAACGATGATGCGCAGACGGATTAAACTTACAGGTATTGTTCCGGCTACAGTCTTCACAAAAACAGTCATATCTGCATCCATGGCTCGGGTATTTTTCGGCAAAATAACCGACGATCGCTCAAAGTCTCATTCTGCTGGAATTATATCCCTTGCACACTACATATGACATTATATTCCTTGACGGTGTTAGTAACAAACCGTAGCAGCAATTACTTTAAGTAACAGGCTTAGCACATTGTTGTATCAAGTTGGCATTGGGCTAGAGAATCGGATTTTAAACCAGATTTTCTTAAACTCTACAGCATGTTAAACTGTGAAGGGAATGAGATTCCATAGCAAAGTATTGAGATATATTTGGTGAGTACAATTATTAAGAATGAATGAAGACTACTTGACTCTATACCGGGTGATGCTGGTAACTTAAATCTAGTAGTGTATATTTCTGGGTACAAGATATACTTTCCCAATGGTTTTTTTTTTTTAAGTTTACTATTGGAAATCATATACAGAGCATGTCCATAAATGCTCAGTCTCTCTCAGCAGACATCAAGGTGTCAGAATGCCTAGCATCCTCACAGTGCTACACGACGAACAGTGAAGACAAGGATCTGTTTCATGTCATTGTCCCAAAAGGTAAATGGTGCCAGATCCATGTTTTAACTGGAAAGTGCATCAGGTGTAAGATGCTAGCCCTACAGTTTTGTAGATCAATCGGCACTCATAGGTGAGGTCAACATCCTGCCATTATCATCATTCAACAGGTTCTTGACAGAACACTGCTCCGGTCATGGTACACCTGAAAGTCTCTCCTTTTCTCTAGCCTATTCTCCAACCCTATGTGCTTTCTTAGCCAAAGCATCTTCAATGTCCTGTGTCCATATTTGTGGGGGTCTGCCTCTGCCTTATTACACAGAAACTGTACTTCTCCCTCACCACTCTCTCCAGGCCATCATGATGTTTAACATGACCAAATACCCCAGTTTTCAGGTCAGGATGCTGTTTATGAGCCAGTTCTTCTGGATGCTCAGATCATGTCAGATAGAAACAAATGCCAGCTATATTTATCTCTAGGAATTTACATGGTACCCATTTTAGGCAGGCTCAATCTGGGAGCCAAGGTCAATTCTGAAGAAAAAAAAAAATCTGCAAGACTTCTGGACTGACAGGCAAGTGTTCAAACCAATGGCTTGTAGCCTTTTTTTAGGTGTGTCGTCCCCCCCCCCGGCCACCTCACCTCCCCTCCCACTATATCTTCTGTTTTGTTTTTTAATGACTGTTTAAATATAACTGAACTCAAGAAAAAACAAATTAATATTAGTAAAACAGATTAATGCAAGTACAAACACAGTAGGCGGCGTCCGTGGCTAAGGCATTGCGAGTCCGACTCGTAATCCAACAAACCGCGATCGAAACCCACTGCAGGTTGCGTGGATTTTTATCATGGTATGGGACGTCGTTGGTCGACCCAGCCTTAAATGGGTACCAGGATGGGCTGTCCTGGGAAAGTAAAGACGGCCGGCGTAATGCTGACCACATTACCCACGGAGTGCCGATTGGTCTGTAAAAAATATGAGTGCTCTTCCCATATGCCCGATGCGCCTAAGGGAGTGTAAAGGGATCTTTACTTTTTTACTTACAAACACAGTTAACTTCAAAACTGCCTGACTTTCCACCCCCCCCCCCCCTTTTCCCAACAGGAGCATGTGCCCTTCACGTAGAACATCACTGGTCCAGACACAAAGCGACCACGGCTGCTACTACTGCAAGAAATGCCTACCTGTAGGTGCTGGACATCGAACAAGGACAGAACCCTGGGGTAGCTAGACGTTTCCTCCTCCAGAGTTTCAACCATCACGTGAAACAGTTCGTGCGTGTCCTGAGGATACAGAGAAATATTTTTCAACAAGCGCAAATTTTTTAACAAACGCATATTTTTAATAGGCGCACATTTTTTCAACAAACGCACATTTTAAAACCGGCGCATATTTTTTAATAGGCGCACATTTTTCCACAAACGCATATTTGTTAATATACGCACATTTTTCAACAAACGCCAATTTTTTAATAGGCGCACATTTTAAAACCGGCGCACATATTTCAACAGATGCATTATTTTGATCATAGGTTCAAATCTCCATCAAAGCAGATTTAACAACTAACCAGGACTCAACCCAGTCTTAACATGGGAGGAGACAATGTGCTAGCAAGACGGACAGACATACGCACACACAACACTCTCTGAGCCTGAGGATCTGGGCAGCATGGCTAGTGCTGTCGCCATGGACTGCGCAGCTTAGGATTATAAAACCAACATCACAGCATTCGGGACACCCCCCATAAGCGCTTCATCCCCATCTTCAACAGCTAGTGAAGAGTTAACATGCCAAAGGTACCAGTAGCTGTCTGACTGTATATAAATCTCACCTTTACCCCGAGTTTTAAGTGTCGGCCAGATCCCCCTGTAATGCCTCACAGTGCCATTCTCCTCAGATCGTAATGATCTATCCCTGCCTCGGCACTGTGCACTCGCTCCCATAGGGCCCTCACAACATCCAGCTCGGCAAACATCAGTTCACCACCAATTGGTGCAGAATCGGCCAGTCTATCTGCCTGCTCATTTCCCATAACACCGGCATAACGTGAAGAAAATATCCAAAGGATGCTAACTATCGGGGACCTTTGAAGTAATGCTTGCCACTCTGCACGGAGCATGCCTATATTCACCATTCGCAACATGCCCTGTGAGTCAGTTACTGATGACAATAAAAACAGCAGCAGCAGGAGGAGGAGGAGGAGAAGAAGCAGAAGACTGAGATGAGGAGGATGAAGAAGAAAAAGACTATAAGCAACACCAACCTGCTCCTCTGATGTGATGACCCACCTCCGGGCCCTCAGAGCATGAAACACCTGGCTGGGGTTATATGGGTCAGGAGCATTATCTACCTCATTGTTGAGAACTGAAAGGAGAGGAGGCATGTCAACTGCAATATGCCTGTTTGGATTTTCATGAAATTAGATTTAGAACAAGCATAACAACCATAACGGGTCAGATGTTTAGGTTGCTTGCCATAACTGGACTCTCGTCTTGTTCTAGAAGTTGAGTTTTGCACGCACATTCATTTGACAGATGTGGCTTATTCCCCCCTGACATCAAGAGGAACATCATTAATTATTTGTTTTTTACTAAATGCTAATTAGAGGTTAGTTGCGTATCCTTTACAGGATGTTGCAGAACCAACCCCAACAGCTCCTGGCTGTTGTGGGGTTTTTCTAGGCAAATTTACGTCCAGTAGTTTGCTAATTAGAGACCAGTCGTTTATTAAATGTTTGTCGAGGGGCAGTGGGTCTATTCATGACCTACTTTAATAGGCCAGATTTCGTTAGCTGGTGTGCCGAGGCTAACAAGCTTGTGCATGGTTTCCAGCTGGCCTTAATTTCGAACTGCTGGTTTATATGTGTTTTACCCCCGTCTCTCTAGCGTAGTTGGCTAAACCGGATTGCGCGGTGAGCGGGTGACGAACTCCTTGTGGTCCGGGGTGGGCAGAAAAGCCACATTTCTCCCAGATTTACGGTATTTAAAATGGAATCAAGGCCGAAAGGTTGCGATATCCATAATACCGAGCCTAAGGGTTAACAACTCATGGCTTCTAGATACTAAAACAAACAAACAACAAACATTTGTGTTTTACCGTCATTTTCATTCTCAACTTTCCGAAAAAGACTGTTTTTAAGTGTTATGTGTTATTAACTATGTTTGCGAAATGTTCTGCACCCGAGTTTCACTCGAAATATGACCCTTCCAGTGGACATAATGTGAGTGTGTATATGTTTTCTTCAGAGAAAAAGATGGCTAAAATTAGTAAAAATAGTTTCACTGAAAAAAACTGGCTTGCTAAGTTCACTCACTAATTATCAGCATATTAAATTACTGTATACTATAGATGATAGGCTGAGTGGTTACTTTCATACATCCACATTTGTGGATATTCTGGCATTTGAAATATGTGTGGATATTATTCCAATATTTGACACAGATTATCTGGATATTCACCAGCTAAAATGTTGGTAGTTTCTGTTGTAATTTCTATTTCTCTGTTGTTCAAACTCCATATTTTTTATGTAGGGTGACCACACTACTACTACAGTAGTAGTAGTAGCAGCAGCAGTAGTAGTAGCAGCAGCCATAGTAGTAGTAGCAGCAGTAGTAGTAGTAGTAGTAGTGCTACTATTACCACCACCACAACTAGCACAATCACCACTACTACTATCATCCCTACAACTAGCACAATCACCACTACTACTATCATCTCTACAACTAACACAATCACCACTACTACTACCATCACCACAACTAGCACAATCACCACTACTACTACCACCACCACAACTAGCACAATCACCACTACTACTACCACCACCACAACTAGCACAATCACCACTACTACTACCACCACCACAACTAGCACAATCACCACTACTACTACCACCACCACAACTAGCACAATCACCACTACTACTACCACCACCACAACTAGCACAATCACCACTACTACTACCACCACCACAACTAGCACAATCACCACTACTACTACCACCACCACAACTAGCACAATCACCACTACTACTATCATCCCTACAACTAACACAATTATCACTACTACTACCACCACCACAACTAGCACAATCATCACTACTACTACCACCACCACAACTAGCACAATCACCACTACTACTATCATCCCTACAACTAGCACAATCATCACTACTACTACCACCACCACAACTAGCACAATCACCACTACTACTATCATCCCTACAACTAGCACAATCACCACTACTACTATCATCCCTACAACTAGCACAATCATCACTACTACTACCACCACCACAACTAGCACAATCACCACTACTACTACCACCACCACAACTAGCACAATCACCACTACTACTACCACCACCACAACTAGCACAATCACCACTACTACTACCACCACCACAACTAGCACAATCACCACTACTACTACCACCACCACAACTAGCACAATCACCACTACTACTACCACCACCAAAACTAGCACAATCACCACTACTACTACCACCACCACAACTAGCACATTCACCACTACTACTACCACCACCACAACTATCACAATCACCACTACTACTACCACCACCACAACTAGCACAATCACCACTACTACTACCACCACCACAACTAGCACAATCACCACTACTACTACCACCACCACAACTAGCACAATCACCACTACTACTATCATCCCTACAACTAGCACAATCACCACTACTACTACCACCACCACAACTAGCACAATCACCACTACTACTACCACCACCACAACTAGCACAATCACCACTACTACTACCACCACCACAACTAGCACAATCACCACTACTAGTACCACCACCACAACTAGCACAATCACCACCACTACTACTACCACCACCACAACTAGCACAATCACCACTACTACTATCATCCCTACAACTAGCACAATCATCACTACTACTATCATCCCTACAACTAGCACAATCATCACTACTACTACCACCACCACAACTAGCACAATCACCACTACTACTATCATCCCTACAACTAACACAATCATCACTACTACTACCACCACCACAACTAGCACAATCACCACTACTACTATCATCCCTACAACTAGCACAATCACCACTACTACTATCATCCCTACAACTAGCACAGTCATCACTACTACTACCACCACCACAACTAGCACAATCACCACTACTACTACCACCACCACAACTAGCACAATCACCACTACTACTACCACCACCACAACTAGCACAATCACCACTACTACTACCACCACCACAACTAGCACAATCACCACTACTACTACCACCACCACAACTAGCACAATCACCACTACTACTACTACCACCACCACAACTAGCACAATCACCACTACTACTACCACCACCACAACTAGCACAATCACCACTACTACTACCACCACCACAACTAGCACAATCACCACTACTACTATCATCCCTACAACTAGCACAATCACCACTACTACTACCACCACCACAACTAGCACAATCACCACTACTACTACCACCACCACAACTAGCACAATCACCACTACTACTACCACCACCACAACTAGCACAATCACCACTACTACTACCACCACAACAACTAGCACAATCACCACTACTACTACCACCACCACAACTAGCACAATCACCACTACTACTATCATCTATACAACTAATACTTGTGTTTAAAACCAATCCTTACCTTGCAGTACTTTAAACACAGCACTGCCGAGGATACTGCCAGCATTCCCTGGCGACACTGACTGGCGTAACCAACCATACAGGGAAGGGCAGGCAGCCCATGACTGGAGCAATGAGTTGAGAAAGCAAGAATTCCCTAGATTCACAAGGCCCCGGCACTTATCTGGAGACAATGAAAAAAACACAAAGTTATTCTTGTATTATGCTTTTATTTTTAATTCCACACACCTTACGCTTTCCTTCCCTATGGTTTGTGGGGTCCTTTGGGGTGGGGGAAAAGACCCAATGTGCACTAACAAGCATGTCAAAAAAGTCGAGTAGTTAAGCGTGTCTCCCTCAAAGTCTGAGTGGCCCGGCTCTCTAGCGTAGTTGGCTAAACCAGACTGCGCGGAGACTGGGTGACGAACTCCTTGTGGTCCGGGTTCAATTCCGGGGGTAGGCAGGAAATCCACATTTCTCCAAGATTTACGCTATTTACAAAGGAACCAAGGCCGAAAGGTTGCGATATCCATAATACCGAGCCTAAGGGTTAACAACTCATGGCTTCTGGATACTAAAACAAACAAAGTCAGAGTGCATCTGCCTGAGAGGCGATCGACTAACAGTATGCATAAAAAATAAGCCTGATCTGTAAAAACAGATGTGTATGCAAAACTGAAGTCTTGGAACAAGACCAAAGTCCAGAAGTGGACAAACAACCAGAACTTTCCTCTGAAGTTTACAGCCCATGAACGTGAATAAGAAGATATATTTTTTCTTTTAACCTGAAAATCATATCTTTTATCATTCTACTCTTTCTTTTTGTGTGTGTGTGTGTGCCAGCTTTATGCTGCCAGTGGCTCCCTTCCGTTGCATCCTTTGGCTGTCAACCCATGTGAACATTTCTGGCTGTTCATCCACTTCTGGATTTTTGTCTTGTTCCAGAACTTGAGTTCTGCATCCATACTGATTCATATGCAAACTATTGGTTCGTTGCCTCTCAAGTAAATGCATTCAGCTTTGAAGGAAACATAACTAATAAGTCGCCAATACACATGCTTGTTTGGGAAACGGTTCCATTCTTCTACCCCCAAAATGGGATCTCGGAACCAACAAGGCTACCTGCCAGTGTCTAAAATGGACACTGGTGCTTTATTGATAACCTACCCCAAACAGGGGAAATCCACATGTCACAGGACAGTCTAATATTTCAGGGGGTGGTAGATAAACTGCATGCACTCTCTCGTGGGACGTATGTGGGTTGGGGTTAGGGCCAGTTCAAGATGTTTCTGGGTCGTTAACCCTCGTAGCACGGACGGGCCGATTATCGGCCGTGGGCAGTCTGGCCAAAAAGACGGAACGGCCAATCGTATTTCGCCTTGACACTGTAAGAAATCACCTGTTTTGAAACACTGAAAGTGATTATTTTATATTCATTGCTGTATTAGCTTTACACAAAGGGACTTTCCAGTGTTTGGTGTCGAAGTGAAAATTGTTATAGAATTTTTCAGATAGTGACCCGAACCGCTAAAAGTATGCCTGACTCGTATGTTTCTGCCCCTGAACTTGATTTTTGATGAAACATTTGAATCAAGTGATGACACTAATTCTATTGATACTGATGCAGGATCTAGTGTTAGTGGGGAATTTGATGGGGACGCTGATCAGACCACAGCCAAACCATGGCTCAGGGTATATCCACCTGAAGATGTTGACACTCCGGCACATCCATTTCTTGAGCTGACTGGTCCAAAACACATGCCACCTAAAGATTTTATTGCTGTTTCATATATATATATATATACCTGTTTTTGACTATTGAATTACTTACAACATTTGTAACAGAAACCAACAGATATGCAGCACAGTTAATTGCAAAAAGTGCAAATATCCTGAAGCGTAGATCTATTGTTCAGAACTGGAAGCCAACCAGGATCTCCGAAATAAAGGCAATATTGCAATTATATAAAAATCTACCCTGTTCCATTTGTGGAAAGGTTATTCACTACTATTGTTTTGAAAAACATAAAAAGAAAAGGCCAAAGATCAATAAAAAACATTTCAAATAAAATATATTTTTGTTTTTAGTTATGTGTTTCATGCATTGAAGTTGAAAATTCATATTCTAATTTTCTATTTTTAGATATGTAAATGAGATAATTTGCATATACATCAATTTATTTTAACGGTATTGTGAAAATCATGAACTTCAATCTATATCCTTCAAATAAATCTATTATTTCATGGGAGTCAAAATAACAGAAATGTGTCAAAAAAAAAAAAATAAAGTAATAACCAAATTTACTGAAAAATGATCCGTGTTTTTGGCTAGACATCCAAAAAACTTCCCGTGCTAAAAGCATCAGAAAGCCGGGAAACCCAGTCTTATCACCCTCTAAAATGTTGGATTCTCATTGTCCTGTGACGTAATCTGGGGGTAGGATATTAATAAAGCACCTGGGCGCTTACTACAACTAATGAGCCCAAAATCATAAAAACAGAGATAGGGTGTGTTAGAGAAGCTGAAGGAGTAACAAGAATAGATCATATCCAAAAACGATAATCAGAAGAAGAGTAAAAAGACATTTCTTGTTTGTTGCATTGTTGCTGTTCATGGGCTGTAATTTACACCGGTGGAAAGTTCTGGCTGTTCGTCTGCTTCTAGACTTTAGTCCAGTTCCAGAACTTAGGCATGCACATCCGTTTTAGAGATATGCTTTAGTTGTATGCATAAGCAATGTTTCCCCCGATGTGAATTTGAACAAAGAAGACACTCACAAACATAGGCTGCACAATTGTTACTGTAGTATGCACCTGAGGAGATACAGCGAAATATGCCAGGCAATAAATTGTGCAGCCTATTGTTTATGTCTTCTTTGTTCAAATTAAATTATTGTTATTACTATTACTAGTATTACGTTACACTGTAACTTACAGAACGGTTACAGACGGTAAGTAGCGACTACGGTGTCCAGAAATTTGCGATCTTTTGGCAATTTCCGTTACCACGGAAACCGTTCGAAACTTGCTTCGGAAATGTCGGCTGGGGTTTCGGGATAGGTCCTAATCTCTCATGAAATTTTGCGATTGGTGTGATTTTCACCCACTCTAAATAGCTAAAAACAGCGGGAAGGAACCCGATTAACAGCGCATGTCTACGACAGCCGGACGTCCTCTGTTTTTCTATTACATCAGTTTGATTGAAAATTGCGGTAAAGTATTCAAGGTTGGCTTTGGCCGTAAACATTACCAGACATGGTAATGCTAGTTATAATTGAATTCTCCGTCCAATTTTACATTTGTGTATACAATTTCTTTCTTGTCAGTGGCTGTTTAGATTTACAGTGACATTTTTCAGGCAATCGATATTATGTGGCTGTGTCTGAGAAAAATTGTCTGCCATCCTGTCCAATGAAAACAAAGCGAAAACGAAAGTTGCGCAGTTTGGTTGCGCAGAGAAAACTTCTTGTTTCATAGACGGAAGTTTTAGCGCTGTTTTTTTACATCTCATCTCCACAAAAACCTACATTCCTACATATCTCATCTCAGAAATGGCATACAAGGCTAAATGAAGTACCATTGGAAAGAGATTGTTTACAGCTATCTAACTGTGTTGGTTTTATTGGTGTTGGGGGCATTTTGAAAATTTGACTAAAGTTAAAGTAACTACGGTAAGGTTGTCTTTACCTTTGGGCCTTTTCTTTGAAGGTCCCCATAAAATGTATGCTCCAGCAGCAACAGCAAAAATAGCACTGCCGAGACTAACCATATATCGCGACAACATTATTAGTATTATATGTGGTATTTAAACTGTACATCCGATGAAGAAGACAACAAAACAGCTTCTCGTATGTTGATGCAACACATTACGCCATTTTGTCGGACATTGTTAATCGTCTGTTGATATATTTTTGTACCTTAAAAATTGAAGAGCGGATAGTTCAGTCATCACAAAAGTGGAAGGAAGTCAAAAAGCAAAATGAAAGCATTTCATTAACGTGGATAGGGGGTGACAAGACACTGGGAAAGTTTTGGAAGTTGCATAGGCAAATGCTCAAGAAAGATCGACTCAAGGTAGTGGGAATAATTCATAAAGATGACAGTATGCTCTTAACCACAGACAAAGGGAAAGGGGAGGCTTTCCTGAAAAGGTTTATTTCACAAACAAACCACAATGACGGAGATAACAGAGATATAAAGTTAGAGTAGATCTGGCAGTCACATAAAGGAACAAACATTATGTAGACATCTTACAGGTGCAAGATGTGAAACATGTTTTGAAAAAAAGCGAAAGACACTGCACCCGGGACTGACGGGGTTAAATGTTCCCACATAAAAGACATAAGCGATGCAGACATGGTGGAGATGACTGCTTGTTTTAACCAGAGCATTAGCACTGCTTCAGTCCCATAAGAGTGGATGCACTCGTCAGGTAGCTCTCCGCCTGGGTTCATGGACCTCTGAACCATGTATTATAGCTTCAGGACTACCACAGGGATCTGCGATTTCACCTGTACTTTTCAACGTTTTTACGAGCAAAATTACGGACCTGGAAACACCCGGAGTCGGCAGAATATTGACATTTGCAGGTCTTCTTCTTCTTCTTCTTCTTCGATCCTTCTGTCAGAAAACTTATATCAGGAGGCCAGTAGCCTTTATGAAAGCTATCGTGCAATCCATATCCTCTTGTGTACCATACAGTTTTGTCTTCATTGTGGTTGGAACAGGCCAGATTGCGTCTCTGTTGTCAGCATACAGTTGACAGTGCTGAAGCACATGCTCAGCATTTTCGGGTGCCACGCTGCAGGGACACGTCTCCGTATTTGCAGGTGATGTCCTCGTATATAGGAAGGGAAGTGGTCGTAACCAATTAGCTCAAGAATTACAGGCGACATTAGATAAGGTGACCGACTGGAAGGAGATCGTTTGGAGAGATAAAGGCACTTTTTGTCACTGGGTGTTAGTCCATCGTTGTCCTGTGTTGGTGGGGGTTGAATGTCAGTCAGTTTGGAGAGAAGAATATGTCCTCACACGCATAGGACTGCAGTTTAAACCTGGTTGGTGTTGCCGTTATGGGTGCAATAATTATAACTTCTCTAGAGTTTAACTCTTTGATTACCAAACAACTCACCATGTGTTAATGCTGTTTTCAAAAATAATAATATGATATCCTAGCTTTTTATATCACAGATTGTCGGTATATTAACTCCTCATAGGCTATCTAAATTCTTAGTATAATTACATTTGCCCCATAGTGGCACTGCTGAAGTCCTATATATATATATATATATATATATATATATATATATATATATATTATATATATATATATATATATATATATACTATATATATATATATTATATAAAGCGGCGTCCGTGGCTTAGGCGTTGCGAGTCTAACTCTTAATTCCAACGTACCGCAATCGAAACCCACTGCTGGCTGCGTGGATTTTTTTCATGGTATGGGGCGTCGCCGGTCGACCCAGCCTAAAATGGGTACCAGGATGGCTCTCCTGGGGAAGTAAAGATTCCTGGCGTAATGCTGACCACATTACCCACGTAGTGCAGATTGCTTGGTAAAAATATAGGATGCTCTTCCCATATGCCCGATTTGCCTAAGGCGTGAAAAGGGATCTTTTTTTAATTATATATATATATATATATATATATATATATATATATATATATATATATATATATATATTTGAACAAAGAAGACACAAACAATAGATTGCACAATTTATATAGCCTGGCATATTTCGCTGTATCTCGTCAGGTGCATACTACAGTAGAAATTACACACACACACATATATATATATATATTTATTTTGGTTTTGAGCTCAATTCCTTGGAATAGGATTGAAAGTAACATTAGCTTGAGACTGAAAGAGTTAAAGGGAGTATCTAAGATCTAGCCAGACTTTTGTTCTTAAAAAAATGACATTAGCTTCACCTACCCTTAAAGGTTTGAATACTTCAGAAAAGAAAAACAAGGGGTGGGGGGGGGGGGGGGGGGGGAACCAGTGCAAATTTAATGTCAGGCAGATCTGGAAAAAATTCTTAACTAATGACACGGTACCCCTGACATACGCTCGTGGCACCTAGTTTGAGAATCGCTGCGTTAACGTATCGTTAGCCCGGTTTGGTGACGTCAGCAGCATGACCCGTCAGCTTGGCCAAACCATCCAGGTATTCATCTCTTTGCTTTCCCCTTACTCATTTTGCACCCAAATACAACATATAAAGGCAAAACTTGTGGCCAAGAGAAATATCGGTGTAAATCAAACTTTACTGGTCGCTGAGTGAATTAAAAAAGACAGTGAAGTTCAACATTCCAAATATAGAGAATCTATTTCAAGCGAGCGAAAGAAGAAAAAGAATAGGATTTTGCATCTGTTTTGTGAGTCGCCACGTTTGTTAACAGATCACAAGCGTAACTAATTTGAAGAACCTAGAGATTTAGCAGATCCACTTTCTTTCTAAATCAGTTTACAACCCTCTGCAGGAAGGACTGAGCAACATCTACTTTTAGAATCACTGCCGTAGATAAACTGATTATATCACGGTTGTCTTAATTTATTCACAAGCAGAAGCACAAGACTCGGGCAGCAGGGATTCTCAAATTCTTTCACGGATAGAGAAAGAATACATGAACGAATCAAGAATTGTCACCATTGCACTCGGAACACCCCACTATTATTTTGAACTGAAAACGGAACATCCTATTAATGTTTCATACTGAAAAGGCGACATCTCACTAATATTTTGAACTGAAAACGGAACATCCTATTAATGTTTCATACTGAAAAGGCGACATCCCACTAAAATTTTGAACTGAAAACGGAACATCCTATTAATGTTTCATACTGAAAAGGCGACATCCCACTAATATTTTGAACTGAAAACGGAACATTCTACTAAAATTTTGAACTGAAAACGGAACATCCTATTAATGTTTCATACTGAAAAGGCGACATCCCACTAATATTTTGAACTGAAAACGGAACATTCTACTAAAATTTTGAACTGAAAACGGAACATCCTATTAATGTTTCATACTGAAAAGGAGACATCCTACTAATATTTTGAGCTGAAAACGGACCATTCTACTAAAATTTTGAACTGAAAACGGAACATCCTATTAATGTTTCATACTGAAAAGGCGACATCCCACTAATATTTTGAACTGAAAACGGAACATTCTACTAAAATTTTGAACTGAAAACGGAACATCCTATTAATGTTTCATACTGAAAAGGCGACATCCCACTAATATTTTGAACTGAAAACGGAACATTCTACTAAAATTTTGAACTGAAAACGGAACATCCTATTAAATGTTTCATACTGAAAAGGCGACATCCTACTAATATTTTGAACTGAAAACGGAACATTCTACTAAAATTTTGAACTGAAAACGGAACATCCTATTAATGTTTTCATACTGAAAAGGCGACATCCTACTAATATTTTTGAACTGAAAACGGAACATTCTACTAAAATTTTGAACTGAAAACGGAACATCCTATTAATGTTTCATACTGAAAAGGCGACATCCTACTAATATTTTGAACTGAAAACGGAACATTCTACTAAAATTTTTGACTGAAAACGGAACATCCTATTAATGTTTCATACTGAAAAGGCGACATCCCACTAATATTTTTGAACTGAAAACGGAACATTCTACTAAAATTTTGAACTGAAAACGGAACATCCTATTAATGTTTCATACTGAAAAGGCGACATCCTACTAATATTTTGAACTGAAAACGGAACATTCTACTAAAATTTTGAACTGAAAACGGAACATCCTATTAATGTTTCATACTGAAAAGGCGACATCCCACTAATATTTTGAACTGAAAACGGAACATTCTACTAAAATTTTGAACTGAAAACGGAACATCCTATTAATGTTTCATACTGAAAAGGAGACATCCTACTAATATTTTGAGCTGAAAACGGAACATTCTACTAAAATTTTGAACTGAAAACGGAACATCCTATTAATGTTTCATACTGAAAAGGCGACATCCCACTAATATTTTGAACTGAAAACGGAACATTCTACTAAAATCTTGAACTGAAAACGGAACATCCTATTAATGTTTCATACTGAAAAGGCGACATCCCACTAATATTTTGAACTGAAAACGGAACATTCTACTAAAATTTTGAACTGAAAACGGAACATCCTATTAATGTTTCATACTGAAAAGGCGACATCCTACTAATATTTTGAACTGAAAACGGAACATTCTACTAAAATTTTGAACTGAAAACGGAACATCCTATTAATGTTTTCATACTGAAAAGGCGACATCCTACTAATATTTTGAACTGAAAACGGAACATTCTACTAAAATTTTGAACTGAAAACGAAACATCCTATTAATGTTTCATACTGAAAAAGGCGACATCCCACTAATATTTTGAACTGAAAACGGAACATTCTACTAAAATTTTGAACTGAAAACGGAACATCCTATTAATGTTTCATACTGAAAAGGCGACATCCTACTAATATTTTGAACTGAAAACGGAACATTCTACTAAAATTTTGAACTGAAAACGGAACATCCTATTAATGTTTCATACTGAAAAGGCGACATCCCACTAATATTTTGAACTGAAAACGGAACATTCTACTAAAATTTTGAACTGAAAACGGAACATCCTATTAATGTTTCATACTGAAAAGGAGACATCCTACTAATATTTTGAGCTGAAAACGGAACATTCTACTAAAATTTTGAACTGAAAACGGAACATCCTATTAATGTTTCATACTGAAAAGGCGACATCCCACTAATATTTTGAACTGAAAACGGAACATTCTACTAAAATCTTGAACTGAAAACGGAACATCCTATTAATGTTTCATACTGAAAAGGCGACATCCCACTAATATTTTGAACTGAAAACGGAACATTCTACTAAAATTTTGAACTGAAAACGGAACATCCTATTAATGTTTCATACTGAAAAGGCGACATCCTACTAATATTTTGAACTGAAAACGGAACATTCTACTAAAATTTTGAACTGAAAACGGAACATCCTATTAATGTTTCATACTGAAAAGGCGACATCCTACTAATATTTTGAGCTGAAAACGGAACATCCTATTAATGTTTCATACTGAAAAGGCGACATCCTACTAATATTTTGAGCTGAAAACGGAACATCCTATTAATGTTTCATACTGAAAAGGCGACATCCTACTAATATTTTGAACTGAAAACGGAACATCCTATTAATGTTTCATACTGAAAAGGCGACATCCTACTAATATTTTGAGCTGAAAACGGAACATCCTATTAATGTTTCATACTGAAAAGGCGACATCCTACTAATATTTTGAACTGAAAACGGAACATCCTATTAATGTTTCATACTGAAAAGGCGACATCCTACTAATATTTTGAGCTGAAAACGGAACATTCTACTAAAATTTTGAACTGAAAATGGGACATCCTACTCATATTTTGAGCTAGAAATGGGATATCCCATGCAAGTCATTAACTCTCCCCCCCCCCCCCCCCTTTTCCACTTTCTTTTCCTACCCCTCTTTTTTATAGGTCACCGAGATAAAGGGGTTAATAGATTACTCGACAATGGTGTTAAAACGCAATCTAATATCTTCAAGAAATAAACGAAACAATATTAGTTAGTCTTTCCTCTTGGACCTTGGGCTGCGCATAGGGCAGAGGTCAATGCTCTCCATATCTGGCGGTTCGTTGCCACCTGCTTTAGGCCTTAGATGTTAGGCTGATGGTGGTTTTATGTAGAATCTCTATTGGTCTACCCCGTTTTCTTTTCTCTTCCGGTGTCCATATGGGAGCTTGATGGGGAAAAGGTGGGGGTGGGGGGGGGTGGGGGCGGGGGAGGTGTCTTATCCATTCTGAGTGCATGGCCGGTGTTGTTCCAGCGGTACTTTCTTATACAATTGGATACATTGTTTTGCTCGGTCTCTTGTCTTATTTGCCCATTGGATCTGAAATATGTCCAGTGAAGATTTAGTATTTTTCTAAGATCTTTGTTCTCAAAACTGTCTAATGTTTGATCTGGAGCTACCGTTACTTTCCAACTCTCGGATTCATAAGTTAGCACAGGAATCACACAAGAGTAATAATATATTACAATGAACATTCCCATCGCCACATTTCAGGCATTAAATGTTTCTGAAAACTGTGAAATCTTCAAAGGTCAGTTCTTTCGTAATTTTCTACCCCAGATGACGTTACTGGACAGTCAAACATTTTAGAGACTGGTAAGACTAGGTTTCTCAGTTTTTTGATGCTCCTAACGACCTCAGAACATCTAGAACTGGCCCTAACCCCAACTCACCTACGTTCCACGAGAGAGTGCAGCATAGGTCCCACGACTGCATGCAGCCTAGGTCTCACGACTGCATGCAGCCTATCTACCACCCCCTGAAATATTAGACTGTCCCATGACCTGTGGATTTTCCCTGTTTCGGGGTAAGATATTAAGAAAGGACCTAAAATAAGTGTCCTTTTCTCGAGCTAATTCCTCCCCGTGCAGATTTCCGGGAACCATTGCGGGGTAAACAATAATAGGTCTACTGCCTCTCGAGCAAGCATGTCGTAAGAGTTGACTAATTAAAGACTTCCTTCGAAGTCGAAGTGCATCTTCTCCAAACTGCACACAAATAAGTCAGTAAAAATGGTGTACATGCAAAACTCAGGCCCTGGTACAAAGCCAAAGTCCAAATGGACGAACAACCAGAAATGTTTCCTAGAGCTTACAGCCAGTGAACAAAGAAGAAGTAAACGCAAAACAGTTGATTCCTAGATTTTTACAAAACGGGACAATTGATTTTCCGACGGGACTGCTGGGGTACGCCTACAAAACGGGATAGACCTGGTGAAAACGGGACTTATAGTCATGCTGCTAATAATACATGCCACGTGACTTTAGTAGTCACGTCTGTCAGCAATCTACCGTCTCGTGTACATTCAGCCAACTCTGACACAGATGATCTTCCACGCCATTGTGTCAAAGTATCTAGCACCTTCTCTCTCGGTCTCCCTCTACATCTCTCGCCCTCCAACTTTGCAACCGTCACGGTGTACTGCAGTATTCTCCTTCTCATATAGGTAATCTAGACTGTCTCCATCCAGTGTGGGTAATCAGTTATCTTCGTGTGTCAGTTTCCTACAAGACATCTTCAATGCTCCTGTTTTTGTTTCCCTTCTAAATCCGTCCACTGTAATCTCATCTTTCGTCTCTAAAACCATATATTCCTTTCCAGTAATTGCTCTCTATTCCTTCAATTGTCCATGATTTACTTCTCTATATCACGATATGATTTTTTATAGCCTTTGAGAATTCTCTTACTTGTCTCAAAGAACAAGGAAAAATTGCATAGCATATTCTGTATATTGTGAAATATTCACAAATATTGTGTAGAAGCCAACGATGTCACATACCAACTTGCTCCAATTTTTAAACACCCTGCTATCCCAATAGAGACACATTATAAATACAATATTTATACCGACTTTAGGTTACCAATGTCAGACTTGGACATTGCCAAAAGAACACGAAAGAAAAATAACCATTTGTGAGATGAGACGTTTTAGAATGGCTGTTAATGAAACCAGAAGAGATCGAGTGAGAAACGACGTAATCACAATAATTTTTGGAACAACATCCATCGTCAAATTTATTGAGAAACAAAGAATGAGATGGTTTGGACGTCTAATGAGAATGAAAGCAACGATGCCTGCAGCAAGAGCGTACAACCTCAAAATCGCAACATCAAGAGGTAGGGGAAGACCGAGAAGAATATAGATTGAATTAGTCACTGACACATTGAGACCTCATAACATCACGGCATATCAAGTGACTGAGCGCGCCCTGGATCGGCTGCCGATCGTCTGCTGAACTGCGATGCCTAGCGGCATAAGCAGATATTGAGAATAGAAAGAGAGAAGTGAAATGTTGCATGTGCTTGTTCTGCATTTAATTTCTTTTTTGATTACCCGAGATTAGGGAATCCCGTGACGTCACGGGAAAACATGAAAGAAAGGGTATACAGGAGAATTCTTTGGAGTGTTCGGTCACGGTGAGAGACAAGACGTGATGGAGATCCGATTTAAAAAAAAAAGGTTAGTTGCGTATCCTTTACAGGATGTTGCAGAACCAACCGAATCATTTATTGGCCTTTGTGGTTTTTCTAGGCAAATTTTACTTTCAGTAGTCTGCCATTGCTTACAAAACCGTCAGCTTTCGGTACCACAGTCGAAACCAGCGTAAAACAAATTGTTCGCAGCAGGAATCGAACCCGGCACCCCGGCATTACGAAGCGCGCTCGCAACGCCTAAGCCACAGACCCCTGACCATCCGATATAGTCAACTTATATTGTGGAGCGATCTGATTGAATTCATCATGTATCGTCGCTCTCCCTGTCTCGATCCAATTCTCTAGCCCTTTGTGCTTTAATAGCCAATTCATCTGCAATGTCTTGTATCCACTTCGCAGAGTTCGGCCTTCGCCTCTTTTTCCGGAAACTGTACCCTCCCCTACCGTTCTCTCCAGGCACCATGGCTATTGTTGACTGAATGCCAGCACAATTGTCAACAGACTGAATGGGAGACTCGCTTTCTGCGACTCGCTGCAGTCCACGGCCTGTGTTCGAAACCTTGCGGTTCCCGGGGTTCACCCGGCCTCAAGGAAATGGGTACCAGAGATAATACTATGGGGTAAATTGAGGAACGTCGGCGAAACAGGCGGACAGTTTCTTATCTCTTTGAGTCCCAGGGGGTTTATCATCACAGGCCCAAAGGGTAGTCAAGAGAGATGTAAAATCGGCGCGTCACACGTTCATTGGGCCTCTAGGTAGGAATCTATGAACGTATGATACGTTCCTTGACTCTAAGAGTTAACAGCTGTCCATACTGGTGACCGAGCACTTATGGTTTATAACCGTGTGCAATGACGCTGGTTCACATCTCCCGACTTTACCTTCACCTCTACAAAGTGAGAACCCCTGTTTATAATTTGAATTCTAAGACCGAGATTCCAGAATGTAAAAGTAACGCTGATTCTGTATCATTTACAGACAGCAGGAATATCAGATTGAGGTCGGAAACAGCTGAAAGTGTGCAGTCATGAAGTTGGTTGCGAGTGTCAAAGCCTCCTGGCAAACATTGGTGGTGTTGCTAACACCGATCGCCTTGTGTCCTTTGGTATTTCCATTTTCGGACACATCATTGGTGAGTCTCACCATCATCATAACATCATCAGTTTTAATGTCTGCGTTAAGCGGCGTGGGGAACCATTTGCTATCCATCGCTGTATGGGTAGCAGTGGGTACTGTCAATCCACTGCAGAAGGTGTTTAATGCCATAAAAATCTTCTCATAGAGGCGGTTGGCGTTTGTGGTTTAGGCATTGCGAACGCGCTTCATAAAGCCGGGCTGCCGGGTTCGATGCCAGCTGCGGACGATTTATCTTGAAAGTGGTGCCGAGAGCTGACCATTTAAGGTTAAGGCAAACTAATGAACGTAAAATTTGCATAGAAAAACCGCAAGAGGCCAAAGTAACAAGTAAAATACTTTGGGGTTGGTTCTTTAACGTCATGTAGAGGATACGCAACTAACTTTTTAACATTGAGAACTTTTGCTTTCACGTCGGATTTTTTTATGTGTAGCGCATGATAGTTCTTACTGCTGAATTCTAACGAGATGATCAAACCATTTGACCTTCTGTTTCTCGATCAATTTGGAGCTTGGGTTGTTCCCACAGTCTGATAATATAATTCCTCTTTGTCTCGGATGGTTAAGTTGGTTGCTTTCCTTTGACATCTGATTTCACTTGTGATAATTGTCTGTGGGTTAGCCCTGGATATTGTTCAAATGTGGCTCCTCTAGCACAGTGTTGGTTTGAATATGCTGTTTACAATCTGTTTCTTGGTGCTCATACTTATGTTTGGATGTCTTAATAACAACATCAGTTGCGATGTCTCAGCTGAATACGAGGTGGAAGAGCGAAATCAGCATCTCAATAAAGGTCAATATTTACAAATCACTGCTACTGTGTATTTGATTTATACGAACAGGAGGATTCAGGCTTTCGAATGTAAATGCTACTGACACATTTTACGAATGAGTTATCAAGAACACAAAATTAATAAATATGACAGAGATATACACATTTGCAGGACATCACGAGCCTCTCTTGGCAGTGGTGGAACATGATTCGATTGTAAATACTGTACTTCAAGGAACATTGGTGGGGGGGAGGGGTGGGGGAGGGGTGGGGGAGGGGTGGGGGGGGGGGGGGGGGTAGTCGAAGAAGAGGACGTCAAAGAAAATCTGGAATGACAACATTGAGAAACGAACCGGACTAAGTTACAATACTCTGTGTCCGCGTGCAGGCTGGTGGATGTGGTAGTGCAACCGGGAGCGGTCAGAAATGGACATTTGACCAAGGGCAGAAGTCATCTGACTAGTCGTTAGGCTCAGACATCACAGCAAACAGGTCATCCAATAACTTCTGCATTCCTGTGCCAGTGGAAATCACATGAAATTTCCCTCACTTTCCCGTTAGAAAACTAGTGAAAACCTTGTCAGTCCCCGCAAAAAACTGGAAGCTTGTGCATGCAAAGTAAAAATGCATAAGGCAGTCATCAGATGTGCCAACATCAACAGTATTACGCAATAATTACAGCTCATGTTGGCGCAAAACGGTCAATCACGAAAGCCGACATTGATCCGCAAAAGTACAGCCATTCTCAACTAATCGGCCACACGCAGTCTTGAAGCCCCACCCTGGGCTGTTGCCAGGGGTTGTAATATAACCCAGCGGTTGAACGGGGTTTCTGGGACCTCTCCACAAGTGATCCTCATCCGAAAGGTGGCACTTTCTGTCACCGGGTGTTTATCGCTCTGTGTGATATCCAGGTGGGGTAAAAGGTCAGCCAGTCAGTTTTAGTGAAGTCAACAACACGACGCGGGCACAGCAGAAAATTTAAAAA